GAAGAAGAGGTAATAGACGAGGAAGAGGAGGAGGCCGGCGTCGACACCAATGCACCAACCCCGGATCCTGATTCGCAAATCGATACTCATCCTGCCACTCAGGCAGAGATTGCTCTAGCCAAGATGTGGCCTATGCGGTACCTTGGCATCCATTGCCGGGTAGAGGACGCACTGCAGTACGATGATCGAGCAATCTATCCCCGTGCCAGTTCACGGCTAGGCCCCCGGCACCAGGCCAACGTCAATGTCTGGCACGGGCATCCTGTCGAATTTGTCAAGCCTGCAGAGATCAAGAAGCGATATGTCAAGGCAGCAGGCAACAAGAAAGAAGGCAAGCTTTCCAAAGAAACCGTCGCTGCAATCGAAGCAGACAAGGCGGAGAAGGCTAAGCGCCCCAAATGGGTCATGGATGAACCTCCCGGCTATGTTCGCCGCGGTGAAGACCTGCCGAACAAGGATCCCAAGTGTACTGCGGAGCTGATTTTCAAGATGCCTCCTTTGGGAGTACATTCGACACGAGGAGAAGATAACGCCCCGACAGTCACCGAAGATCAAGTCAAGGCTTACATGGACCGAGCGAAAGCATTGGCCAAATCGCACGTTGGAGTAGAGCCCTACAACACAAATTTCTTGGATAAGTGCTTGGCTCTCTTCACTAAGCATCAACACGACGCCGATGTTGCTTTGAAGCATGTCAAGAAGATTGACAAGCGGAAAGATCTGAGGGAGCCCGAGCTAACCAAAGAAGAAGAAAAGAAGTGGAACGAAGGTGTCGCAAAGTACGGTTCAGAGATCAGGCTCGTCCGCCAGCACACTAGCAAGACCATGTTCTATGGAGACGCCGTACGCTATTACTACATGTGGAAGAAGACACCCAAAGGAAGAGAAATTTGGGGCTCATACAGCAGCCGGAAAGGTCGGACCAAGAAGGTTGAGCCTGATGCACAAGCTCGCCTCGTTGATGATGTTGCGGACGACCAAGACGATTCAGCATTTGACAGTGCCAAGGCCATTCAACGCAAACGGGTTTTCCAATGCAAGTTCTGTGCAGTTCGACATTCTCGGCAGTGGAGACGGGCTCCAGGAGTGACTCCTGGCCAAATGGTACCGCCGGATGGCCGTTCCAAGGACAAGACTGGGTTCCTGATCGCACTTTGTCTACGTTGTGCAAACTTGTGGCGCAAGTACGCAGTGACATGGGAAAACGTTGATGAAATTGCCAAGAAGGTTGCGCAAGGCGGAGGAAAGGCTTGGAAGAGACGTATTGACGAGGAGCTCCTGCGCGAGGTCTACGCTGCACAGTCTGATCCCAGCTCGAAGAATGCTACTCCCGAGTATATCGAGCTCCCAGCCGCCACAGCTCAGCCAGTTGCAGAGCCACCGAAGAAGAAACAGAAAACTGTGGCTGCTGTGAATGGAGACAGTGGCACATCAACCCCTGCCAGCGAGCCTGTTCCGAAGAAGGAGAAGAAGGAGAAGCCTGCTCCAGTCGTCAAAGCGCCTACTCCTCCTCCGGTCCCTTCGCCCCCAAAGTATCGAGCTTTGCCCTGTGCTGTATGCCGATCAGCAGAAGGCACACGTCTAGAATGTGCGGCTTGCAAGATGACGGTCCACAAAGCCTGCTATGGTGTTGAAGAAACACGACAAGCCAACAAGTGGTACTGTGATCCATGCAAGAATGACAAGAAGGAAAGCGTCTCATATGTAAGTCAAATTGCTACATTGATGGAATTTGTACTAATACACCTCAGACCTACGAATGCGTTCTATGCCCTCAGAAAGATACGGAACAGGAGTTTTACGAGCAACCAAAGGTTACACACAAGAAAAAGACTGACCGCGATCGGGAGAAGGAGCGGCTAGAAAAGGAGCTTGTTGATAAGGCCAAAGAGGAATATCGCCTTCGGCAGCAGGAGAAAGGCCGACCGCTTGTTCCTCGTGAGCCGCTCAAGCGAACCGCCGACAACAACTGGGTACACGTGTACTGTGCCCTCTGGCACGCTGAAATCAAATTCAGCAACGCGGCCCGCCTGGATATGGTAGAAGGCATCGGAGCGCCAACGCTTCGATACGACGCAGTCTGCAAGCTGTGCAAAACGACGAAGGGTGCATGCACGTCGTGTCTGCAATGTCATGCAACATTCCACGTTGGCTGTGCTCACAACCATGGCTACATACTCGGTTTCGACATGACCCCTGTTAAGGTCTCCCGCAGAGATGCAGTACCCACAGTGACTATGAATGGGGAAACCGGAACCCTGATTGCGGCAATCTGGTGCAAAGAGCATACTCCCAAGACAATTGTTCATCCAATGAACGAGGAAGTGGAAGGAACAGATCTGGTTGCGCTCCAGCTCTTTGCTCGTGAATTCAAGCAGGCTGATCTCACCCTAACTGGTACAGCACGCAAGGCCAATCTCGTTGATCAGTCGACGCGCATCGCTCCACAGGCTGTGCCGGCACCAGTTAACCGTAGGGCATCCGCAGTTACGGCCCCTACTCCCACTTCTGCACGAGGACGACAATCGAATGCAGGCATATCTGTCAAGGAAGAGCCAAGTGAGCCATCAGTGTATAAGTCTGAGCGCAAGTGCGCACGCTGCAAGATTGAGGCTAGTCCGCGATGGTGGAAGGTGGATGGAGAAGTAATACCAGGACAAGTTTCTCGAGTAGTGGATGGCCCGCTGGACATGAAGAGCGCCATGGATCTGAGCGCCCATATGGAGAGGAAGCCCCTTGTCGAGGAGGGCAAAATCGTCAATGGTAACGGTAGCGAGGACCATGCCATGTCGGACGCCCCAGCTGTTGCCTCGCCTACAAGCAAGAGCCTACGCTTGGATACCAGAGGGGCAGTTGCTTCGTCTGGTGCCTATCTATGTCAAAAATGCCATTGGAAGAGGAAGAATGGGACGGATGAAGAAGAAGAGGAGCGAGCGAGATCCGTCTCGATATTCAAAGAGCCACCGCAGCAGTACCCCCTACCTGCAGCGCAGATTCCACAATATGCGCCACCACCGCCTGCGTTGGTTGGTACATGGACACTGCCCGGTGGCCCACCAAACCAACCGCCTCCACTGCCGTCATGGCACAGTGGTGTACCGCCTGGACCTAGCCATCACCTACCCAATGGCACCGGATACGTACCCCCGCCGCTACCAGCTCCATCGGTAGGCCACAACGCTCCTTACCACGCCCCATATCCGCCTCAGCCGAATGGGTACGCGGCATTTTCGGGTGCGCCGATGCACTCGGCGATTGTAGCAGCAGGGCTTCGGCCGCCGTATTCGGGACCGCCGATTAGCGGACCACCGCAGCTGCACCACAGCAACGGCTCCATGCTGGTAAATGGTGCGATGCCGTCGCCTAGGACAATACCGTACTCGCCCACGCATCATCACGCACACCCTGCCTCACGCGAAAGCGCATTCATTGCACCTCCACCTCCTGTGGTAGCGCAATACTCGGGGATCCATGGTAGTCCTGCAACTGGCAGGCCGGCTACCCCTATGGACGCGGTGATGCGGGATGCTCCGGTGGTGACATTGGCGCCAACTGAACGGGCAAGCACGGGGGCAAGTGCCAGTCCGTCACTTCGCAACTTACTGCATTAGACTTTGCTTACTCTACTTTGATGTAATTGTACACAACTGGTTTTGACTCGTTTTTTTTTTCTTTTCCTCTTTGACTTTATTTGTGTCTATTATGCTTAAAGCATGGGGTCGGAATCGATGCCTTTTGGCATTTTTAGCATGGAGCGTAGGGATACATGTGCTCAGCGATGCAGTACTTGGAATTGCGAAACCAGGCAGGAGATTTGGAGTGTGGCGAGGCAAGGCAAAGGGTTTAACAGTTGCATGTGATAGGGGCATTGTTGGGTCTGTGACTTTTGTCTCCCGGCGTTTGGTGGCATTATACCACAACGTCTTTCTTGGTCAATGTTTGTCATTCTTTGTTTTGCGTGAGGCTCCCTGCGGGGCGGATGGTAGCAGGTAGCGGTAGCAGGGCAGCATCTATGATTCATTGTCGGCGAGCCAAGAAGGGCGGACATGGCTGGTTGAGCGTGGCTAACGCGCGCACCAAAGAAAACATGTTTCAATATCGACTACTCGCCCTCAACAAGTGTCGCGACACAGTTTGGATGCTTACTTTTTCCGAAATAAATGGCGCCATAGCCACAGTGGGATAATCCTTTACGAGGCTGATGTGAGGAGAGTAAGTGTAAGAGCAGAGTGTTCGGCGCCGGTAGGGCAAGCTGACGTGTGCCATTCGCAGTCATGTGGGCGACGACGACAATAAGCTTTCTGGGGCTGGAGCACGCCAGCCCTGCAAGGGGACGACGGTTACTCGACCTGGCCCACGCCACGCCACGCCACGCCAATCCGCGCGTCCCTTGCATGTGCTAACCATGTCTCCCTCCACCTCATCATCCCGACCTCCTCTCTTCCCCAACCTCGACTTCTCACCAGCCACACCACTATTGATCCCCACCTTCTTTCTTTCTTTCTTTTTTCCTTGTGTCGCTTCCTCTCGCTCCCCAATCGCACACGTGTATTATCAGCTTTTCCTATAACCTCGTCCTCGTCGCTTAGTCTGCTGCATCCTGTCACTCCCCCATACTAGTCGTCCGGCAACAAGTCTCCCCCCCTCCAAAGTCGACGTTGGCTGGCTGCCTGCTGCAAACTTGAAACCACCACACACCCACGCCACACACGGGTGAAACACCGCCCGTTGCCAAACCCTCTCCCAGACGCGACACACACATTGCCCGCGGCATCTCGGGTGACCGAAGGCGAGCCAACCGCGAGTTCGAGTGGCGCAGCTTTGCTCTCGCCTGCTACCCGCTGAGAGAGGCTGCATATCATCCTTCTGGCCCTGCGCGGCAACCGCTTTCGCGCCCTCTTATTATTATACGACTCGCGATTTCTGATTCCCCCACGTTCCTACCTACATTGTTATCGTTGTTGTTTTTTCCTTGGAGATTTCCTTCTCCTATACCCTAGTCCTTTCCGCATTCCACATCTGATTTCTGAGTTGTTCATCATTTTTTATCGTTTGCATTTGTTTTGATCAATACACCCGGGAGAGGTGCCCGCTTGCACAAGTGGAAATTTGCATATACACACATTCATACACATATACAGTCATGGTTCTGTTAAAGAGATATTACTGCGCCGAGACGGTGGACGGCGACACGGAATGTTTTGTCGAAGATGGGTTCTGGTACACAGAGGTACGTGTTGTATTCCACTTGTCAGCAATGACTGCGAAAGGAGAAAACTAACTTTGAGATTAACAGAAAGGCATCATCATCAAATGGATCATCTTCACCCTCTTCTTCATCATATTCTTTGGCTGGTTCGTCGGCGGTCGCATCCACGCAAAGAGACGGTTGCGAAAGGGTCTTCCGCTGCTGTCGTATCACCGCGTACGTCATTCGCCCCATTCCACATATCACACAAAGTATAGTATACTAACACTCTATCTAGTTCCTAATCTCCTACTCGGAACGCCAACGCCACGGTCAAGTGCCCCAAAACCACTTTACCTTCTACCAAACACAAAACCCCTACGGCGCCCCCAACAACGCCGCAAATCCCCAGTACACGCAGCGTCAAGACGGCGCGTGGTCGGAACCCCCGCCACTGTATCAAAACAACGATGCCCCGCCCCAGTATTTCGCACCACAGGGCCCTGCAAAGACGACTCCGAACCAGTATGCCATGGAAATGGGACAGTACGGCGGACCACCGATGGCACCAGCGCAGACTGGACCCCAACAGAGCGGGGTGGTAGGCGGTGCTTCTGCTACGTCGGATGTTGAGCAAGGGCAAGCATCATCTCAGCAATTACCGCCCCGACCAGCTCAAGCAAAGATCATGGGCGTCTTGGGTCGATTTAGGCGGTAAAACTTAGTCCCTCAGCGGAGAGAAGACGAAAAAAAAACATTATGAAAGTTTCTATCCGTGCATAAGAAATATGTTATTGAGAGAATTCAAAGAGAGTGTGTGACTGGATCATGCCCCGTGTATTCTTTTTTGGGAGTGGGGGAGGGGATAAGTCTTTGTACAAAAAAAGACGACAATTGTAATCAAAGGGGGTGAGATATGAGATGTGGGGAGATGGGAAATCATCAGCATCTTTTTTTAACGTTAATCCACATGAGCAAAGCGAGCGTTATTTACTGGATATTTATTTGATTTGATTTGAAGAGAGAAAGTTTGGGTGTCGTGACATTCGTGAGTGAGATATATATGTATGCATGACTAAAGTGTAAGTAGTATGCATACTGTATAAAGTCGTGATATGATGGGAAAAAAACATAATCAGTTCGTCAATCAATGTCCATGGCATCTCCGCTTGCTTCCTCAGCGGGGGGTATATTATTACTCCTATCCATCATCATACTCGTCGATGCTCCCGTCAACGGCGACGCAGCCTCTCTTGCAAGAATACTCGGAGGCTCTGTAATCGGATTAACTTGCCTATTGCGAATACGCTGGCGCGTCTCCACAATGGCTTTGCGCACATTATCCTGAGCCTCGGGGACCGTCAGGCTGGTGGGGACATTGTACAGCACCATCTGGTTATCGCGGGTGGGGGTAGGTTCCGGGCCGCGCAGGACGTGAGTGGGGATCTTGGAGAGGTGCTTTTCGATGTCGGAGAGGAAAATGGGATTTTCCTCGTCCGACTCGATGTCGCTGAGTTCGGCGCTGAGGTCCGAGATGTAGACGCGGTGGGGGGTGTCTTCGACGTCCATGGCGTCTTGGGCGCGTGGTGGCTTGCGGTCGCGGCGGGACCGGGTCGAGGCGAAGGCGAGGGCGTCGGCGACGGGGACGGGATGCTGGTTGGTAGGCGATGACTGTGCGTGTGTGCTGTTTGCGCCTTGGGAGGAGCCTGGGACGGGAATGTAAAGGCGCGTGCCATTGTGGTCAACTGTGAGATGATGCTGTTAGTACTATGTACCACACCTATGCAAGACAACAAGAAAGGGGACGACGACATACCCAGATTCAACAGATCAAAGCGCTTGCTCAGCCGCTGCTCGTTCTCCAGCGAGCCGTCGGCAGGCCTCTTCTTGCCGTGGGGCGCATTCTGCTGTTGCGCATAGGAAGCGGGCCGGGCCTGGCTACTGTGCGCTACGACTTGGGCCATGCATGCATTGCAACCTGTGTCGCTTGGGATGTTCAGATGGAGCAGATTGTTGGAGAAGAGAAGGTGAACAGGCAGTAGTATCCTGGCCGTTCAGGGTCGTCGGGGGCATCGGGAGAAGTCAGGGACATGGTGGATTGGCGTGTTATAGGCGGATGGGGGCGGCAGCGGCAGAAGGCTAGGCGCAGGTACGTGAAGCTTCCAGAAGGGCCACGGCCACCACCGCCCATGATGCCGCCCCGCACTCGCCTACCATGCGCTACTACCAACGTCTGCCATCGCCTATTGTATGGGCTTATGGGCCTGCAGCTCTCGGCGCTGCCCGCCCACGCACCCACGCACACGCACCCACCGTTGTGTCTGGTTTTGGGCTGGTTAGGCCTGGTGAATGCTGCTGCTGCTGCTGCACCGCAAGATAGCGGCCGCCCCTCTGAGTCACCCAGGGCCCAGAGCCATCAGCGGCCGATTGCGATTGACTCCGCCTCCGACTTTCTCCTCTCGCCTATTCTCCTGCACGCGCCCGCTTTGCAGACCCCTCGACCCCTCCTCCTCCTTTCCCTGCCCCTCTTCCGACCCCTCCCTGACCACCACCACTGCGCCGGCCGCAACCATGTCGCTCACCCAGGAGAAGCACGAATGGGGCGCCGTCCGCGTGCGCCAGACTTTTCTCGACTACTTCAAGGAGCGCGGACACACGTTTGGTATGCCCTCACCCCCCACTGCCTTTGCTGCCCTCCTCTCTCTCTCCAGCATCATGTCAATTGACTCCCATAACAACAGTCCCTTCCTCGTCGGTCGTGCCCCTCTCCGACCCCACCCTCCTCTTCACCAATGCGGGCATGAACCAGTACAAGGCCATCTTCCAAGGCACAATCGACCCCTCGTCCGACTTTGCCCAGCTCAAGCGCGCCGCAAACTCGCAAAAATGCATTCGCGCCGGCGGAAAACACAACGACCTCGACGATGTTGGCAAGGACAGCTACCACCACACCTTCTTTGAGATGCTGGGCAACTGGAGCTTCGGCGACTACTTCAAGAAGGAGGCCATTGGCTTCACCTGGGAGCTGCTCACAAAGGTCTACGGCATCGATCCCAAGAGGCTCTATGTCACCTACTTTGAAGGCACCGACGAGCTGGAGCCAGATATCGAGGCCAAGGAGCTGTGGCTCAAGGCTGGCGTGCCCGAGGACCACATTCTGCCCGGCGACATGAAGGACAACTTTTGGGAAATGGGCGACCAAGGTCCATGTGGGCCTTGTTCAGAGGTACACTATGATTTGAGGGAGCCCGAGAATGGCCAGTACAGGAACGCCGCTTCGCTCGTCAACATGGACGACCCCGAGGTCATTGAAATCTGGAACAATGTCTTCATGCAGTACAACCGCGAACCCGACCGATCTCTGCGATCTCTGCCCAACAAGCACATTGATACTGGTATGGGATACGAGCGACTCGTCTCGGTGCTGCAACACAAAAAGTCAAACTACGACACTGATGTTTTCACTCCATTGTTCCAGAAGATTCAAAGCATCACTGGAGCACGCGAGTACAGGGGCAAGTTTGGTGACGAGGACCCGGATGGCATCGATACCGCATACCGAGTCGTCGCAGACCACGTCCGAATGATGAGCTTCGCCATTGCCGACGGTGGCGTACCAAACAACGTTGGCCGAGGATATGTTGTGCGCCGAGTGCTGCGAAGAGGCGCTCGCTATGCGCGCAAGTACTTTGCTTGTGAGATTGGCGACTTCTTTTCCAAGATTGTCCCCACGCTCGTCGACCAGATGGGAGACATGTTTCCCGAGATTAGGAAGAAGCAGCAGGATATCATTGAGATTCTAGACGAGGAGGAAAAGGCTTTTGCCAAGTCGCTGGATCGCGGTGAAACCATTTTCGAAAAGTATGCGCAAAAGGCGAAGACGAAGGGATCGGATGAGCTGCCAGGAGACGATGTTTGGCGGTTGTACGACACCTATGGTTTCCCTGTTGATCTGACAAAACTCATGGCTGAAGAGCGGGGCTTGAAGATCAATGATGAGGAAGTCGAGGTGGCACAGGAAAAGGCTCGCGAGGCCAGCAAAGGCGACAAGAAGGCTGCTGGTCTGCTTGTCAAGTTTGACGTACACGACCTCGGTGCGCTGGAAAACATGCCAGAGGTTCCAAAGACGGATGATTCACCAAAGTACGGCCGCGAGAACATCACTGCCGTTATCAAGGCCATATATCACAACAAGAAGTTCCTCAAGTCTACTGCTGAGGTACCAAAGGGCGAGCAGTTTGGTGTCTTGCTGGATCGCACAAATTTCTATGCTGAGCAAGGTGGTCAAGAGTTCGACACTGGAAAGCTGTTGGTTGATGGCGAGGCTGAAATTAGCATTGAGAACGTCCAGGTGTATGCTGGTTATGTATTACATACCGGTTACATCAAGTACGGAGAGTTGAGTGTAGGAAGCGAGGTCATTGCCGAGTTTGATGAGCTACGGAGGCATCCTATCCGCAACAACCACACAGGCACACACGTCCTTAACTACGCCCTTCGTGAGGTCCTCGGCAACGAAGTCGACCAAAAGGGTTCGCTCGTTGCACCAGAGAAGCTGCGTTTTGACTTTTCACACAAGGCTGGTTTGTCAGATGCTGAGCTTGACAAGGTGGAGAGAATCTCGTCTGCGTACATCAAGGAAGACAAACAAGTGTATGCCAAGGACGTACCGCTTGCGTCTGCAAAGGAGATTCGAGGTGTACGTGCCGTCTTCGGCGAGACATATCCTGACCCCGTTCGCGTCGTTTCGGTCGGTGTACCCGTCGAGGATCTTCTCAAGGATGTCAAGAACGAGAAGTGGGAAAAGCTCTCGATTGAATTCTGTGGTGGAACCCACGTACTCAAGACGGGCGAAATCAAAGACCTTGTCATCCTGGAGGAATCCGGTATCGCAAAGGGCATCCGCCGTATCGTCGCCGTAACAGGCCAAGAGGCCTACAACGTCCAGCGCGTCGCCGGCGAGTTTCAAGAACGCGTTGAAGCCATGGGCAAAATGCCATTTGGGTCCCAAAAAGAAGCTGAAGCAAAGAAAATCGGCGTCGACCTCAACAACCTGACCATCTCCGCCCTGTCCAAGAACAAACTCCGCGAGCAATTCGCCAAGATCCAGAAGAGTATCCTCGACGAACAAAAGGCTGCGGCCAAGGCTGATAACAAGCGTGTTCTTGACGAAGTAACCAAATTTTTTGAGGATGAGAACAACAAGTTCATGGTTAAGAAGCTCGACTGGTCAAGTAACGTCAACAAGGCCATTAGCGAAGTCATCAAAACTATTTCCGGTCCCAAGAGCGCACTCAAGGATCGCTCGTTGTACTTGTTCTCCGCCTCGCCTGATGAGGGTAAGGTGGTTCACGGGTGCTATGTTAGTGAGGTACGTATTTCTTTCCCTCTCTCATTTCCCTTCCTTTCCATCATCACAAGAAAGATTATTTCAAAATGCTAATATATGAAACATGTAGCCCTTCAAGAATGCAGGCGCAGACGGCCCCAAGTGGGCTTCTGCAGTCACTCCTGTTATCGGCGGTAAGGCTGGTGGCAAGCCTGGTGCTCCGACTGCGGTTGGTCAGGGCACGAATGTGGATAAGGTGGATGAGGGCGTTGAGGAAGCGAGGAAGTGGATTGAGAATTTCAAGTTGTAAGGTGTTGTTGTTGTTGTTGTTGTTGATTTTTTGAAGGAAACGAGGGGTGATTGATAAATGGATGGTGAATAGACGCATAGTCTGAATTTGAAGCTTGTACGATTATTGTGCTTCAATGAGTGGGAATAGGGGGGGTGCTGAAGAAGAAGAAGATTATGTGGTGTATTTTCAAGGACTTGCACCTGTATCTCAATCAATCCCACGAAACCATAAGCCATTGTTTTTTTTTTTTTAAAAAAAAAAGACCCAAAATTTCTCTAGAATACCAAACTAACTCTCTCTTCTACTACACACAACCCCCCCCCTCCCCC